TTCCCGGTTAATGTCCAGATACGTGGACCGTCATGGCGGCACTTCCTGTTTCAGCCTCGAAACCAGACGGTTTGCAGACGACGTGTCACGAGACGACGCGAGCGAACGGCGGCGGCTGTCATGGCGCCTCATCGCTGATTCCAGCAAAGAAAAGGAAACAGTGGGGTATATATATACTAGCTTATATATATATATCACTTCTTAAAAGTGGAAATGTTTTTAAAATTATGATTATTACTCTAATAACTTTCTTGCATAAATACATACAAGTAAGAAAGTTAAATTTGGGTCAAAACTTTTTATTTACCATTCCACACCCATACTGACACCATTATGGGCCAGACCTACAAGTAGCAAAATTAAAGCCTGCTATATCTTCCAACATATGCAAAACAACTGAAAAATAGATCTAGTCCAGTTTAACTTATAAAATTCAATGCTTTAATCATTACTTCCATTACAAATATGTGATTAAATTTTTATTAATTTTTCCAAGACTTTTATTTAAATGAAAGTGAAAGACTTAAAGTAAACAGATATTCAGTTATCTCAACAGTTCATTTATATTGACACAAGGCTATGAAAAACAAATATCACACTTTTAATACTGTACATTAAATTTACAAATATTTTCAGCTATTTTTCTCTATTTTGATGTTTAACACTAAAGTATGATGTATAATTTAAAATTTTTTTACATTCATTATTTGTTGAATGCATCAATTCATTATATACCATTTTATTTTCTCATCTTAGATTTTATTTATTTCCATTCTATACAAATAAAATATATATCATCATCATCATTTAAAATTGAAAAAAATCATAATCATACATATTTATAAACATTCTATTAATTTTAAAACATACTATTAATGAATGTTTTAAATTAATGATTACATATACTGCAGACAATGCTTACCAAGAAAATTTTTCTATAAAATAATTTTGTATGTATATGCATGCTTGTGTTCTTTCATTAATTTCATATTTAATTTTTAACAACATTTTCACTCCTATTTTAGAAGTAAAGAACAAATAATGAATTATACTTTATAATCCAAATATCAAATAAAATTTTGATAATGAAACTGTCTCAAGAGCAAAGTATACAAATAATACTGATAAGATGTGGAGGTAACTATGAATGATTATGATTCTGCTTTGTTTAGTAATATTTTATTAAAAATTTTTTTTTTTGCAAATCAGGTAATTTGTTTTAAACCATGGCATTAAAAATAAATTACAATTCACGATAAACTCATGCCAATACTATACTTTTCACATCCTCGTATGTAGAAAAAATAATTAGTACAATTTTTACATAATTATTATATAAATCTTTCTAAACATCATTTGAAAAAATTATAAATATATAAAAATTAGTTTAAAAACTTTGGTCTAAATATAGTTTTAAGGATGATCAATAGAACTTATGTTTTTAAACTCTACTTAAGTAATATAGTACATATGTAATAGTCCTGTGTTGTTATGTCAGGTAAAAAGTAACAGTGATTCAAAAAATTATATCATTTATAACTACAAAAGTACTATGTGTTTGAGAAAGAAAACTACTCTCAAGAAAGCATGTTTCTGCCATTAACACTGCATATCTGTTCACATTGTATTTACATGTTTTACTGTAATTGTCAACAACTATTTTAAACATTATGTACCAGTACATTCTCTTAGTGCAAGTAAACAGATATATTAGCATCAGTGCATGTTGTAAATAATTATATTTCCCATTTAAAACAGTCAAAATGATGATAGTATATATAGAAAACATATCTGTAGATTATAAAAAAAACAATTTTTGAAGTGCTATTATTTGTAACCTGCATGTTGTAATCACATAAAACTATTATNAATCAAAACTTCTTCCAAAACTTCAGACTATGAGGCGTTAAATATAATTAAAAATATTTTAATCTTGCGAGTGCTTTCGTCGTAAATATGCACGTCATCTTCAGGCAATTCAAAATCAAATTTGAATTGCCTGAAGATGACGTGCATATTTACGTCGAAAGCACTCGCAAGATTAAAATATTTTAAATTATATTTAACGCCTCATAGTCTGAAGTTTTGGAAGAAGTTTTGATTGGAATGTTATTAAACAATGAAATATTTATGGCATCCTATTCAGAAATAAAGATTTGTTTTGATCTTGAATTTCATTTAGGAAACTATAGCAGATCTGCTTGTGACTCTTTATCTACAACACGATATTCAATATTTCAAATTTATAAACATTAATAAATTCAATTTAATGACAAAAACAATAATTGTAAATAATAGATTACTTACAATAATATTTATGTAATATTATACATTTTAAGTATCAATTAGCTATCAGCAGAAGACACTTCCAAGTATAAATGTACAGAACATATATATAAATTACTTTTTTTTTTTTTTTCTAAACTCTTTCTGCCCTGTGGATACTAAGAAGGCCTCTTTTAAGCAAGCTCATTATGGGTTCAGCCAGGCCCACAATGGGGCGATTGGTTGGCAAGGGACGGGGCCTGACATATCCGGATGGACCATCCCCGAAAAATTCCTGGGGATTTTTCGACCTGTCCGGATTTGATCCTGGGTCCCCTAGAGGGGGAGACTGCCACCTGACTGCTCAGCCATCCAGTCATCTATACAAGTTATTTATAAATAATTTTTACATACAGCATATAGCTTGGTTAATCTTTACTTAAGTGGACTATCATGGCCACACAGTGTGAACCCACGTTCTAGCCTAACCTAATTGGTAATTAGAATAGGTTAGGTTAGAACGTGGGTCTCCACTGTGCAGCTATGACAGTCCACGTAAGTAAAGATTAACCTATAGCTTGTACTGTATTTAAATTAAATGGTTAATGTCCAGATACGTGGACCGTCATGGCGGCACTTCCTGTTTCAGCCTCGAAACCAGACGGTTTGCAGACGACGTGTCACGTGACGACGCGAGCGAACGGCGGCGGCTGTCATGGCGCCTCATCGCTGATTCCAGCAAAGAAAAGGAAACAGTGGGGACGCACATTCTAACCTAACCTAACCTATTCTAATAATATAATTGGTAATAATTATGCTAATTTATTAGAATAGGTTAGGTTAGGTTAGAACGTGCGTCGGTGCGTCACGTGACACGTCGTCTGCAAACCGTCTGGTTTCGAGGCTGAAACAGGAAGTGCCGCCATGACGGTCCACGTATCTGGACATTAACCAATTAAATTACTTAAAAGTACCTTTTACCTGGTTGTCAATGAAAAATAAAATTAATGTCAACATATTTTACTATTAAAATTTAAAATTTTATACATAAAATTAACTATTTTTAATAAGAACACGTTCCATTTATCGTTTAAAATTCTTAAATATGTAACATTCGACATCACTCAGATGATTTGTGACTACAATATATAACAAATAAGCTTTTATATAATTATTATTTCATATAAACATAGCATGAAAGAAAACCTTAATTACAAATAAATTCTCGAATGGTTAATTATATAAAAACCGGGACAACTTACGATTGTAACGTTGGAATTTTCTATCGAGCGCTTATGAAGTTTACTACTACTTCTTGTCGAGAAATGAAAATCATGGTTGTCGCTCGATATAAGTTGTGGTTGAGGATAATTATTTAAATGATTAATATGAGGAGCAATACGTAATGTCCGAGAGGTAACACCGAATGGTAAACCTTGTGTAAACTTATTTACGACGGAAATCAAAACAACAAATATCAACCGAAGTCTACCGTTCGCCATTTTGTCATTATAACAACAAACGGAATGATGTTTAGTTTCGTAAATGTTACTTCCAGGAACGTTTAGAATATTTTTATATATTTTATTTTGTGGAATAAAAAGCTTTCATTTCGTTACTCCGTAAAATCTGTAGAAATCTGTCCTATAAAAAACTTATCTATATACAGTAGAACCTCGATTATCCGGACTAATTGGGGATGAAGGTAGTCCGAATAAGGAAAAATTCGGATAATCGAAAAAATACTTTAATTTTTCTTTTAATGATAATACAATGTTTTCTTTTTGATGACATATCGGTAATATTAAAAATAAATACTGTATTTAAATCGTGATCAAATTTTCAAGAAACAAATGTTTGTATTGAATTTGGACTACTACTGACCAGCGCTAACAGACTACCTATTGTTTAAAAGGCCCTCTGGTGTCGCAAGACGACGGATTTTATAAAATAAAAGGCAGTTGAAACTGCATTTTTATTTTATAAAATAAAAATTTGACAAACTATTTATCGTTTTATGACGAGTAAAATGTTTTCGTCGCGTTCGCGGCTTTTAAGTAATGCATAAACCTTCGAAACGCGAGGCCCTTCGGACCGCGAGGCATAGGCGGTGGCCCACGTTGCCCATGACTTATGCCGCCCTTGGTCATAGAAATGATGTAATTTGAAAATAAAATTATTTATAAATACGTATGTCAAGTTATATTTTTATTACGACGCAAAATATATTTAAGAGTTTATGGCCACTGTGCNATCTCAAGCAAATTTAGTAAAAAAATACTATCCTCTGAGTAGCGGTTTTGATTTTTAGGTACAAAATTTTACTTCAAAATATAGCCAATGTGGTAATATTTGGCGCTGTTGTCCCTTTAATATGCATATTACATACGTTTTCTTACGAATTTCGAAAGTTAAATTATTGCGTTTTATTTCTTGACGATTAGTCTACACCAAAGATATGGTCTTCTATGTGATCAGTGGTGTAGTGTGGGTGTCAGCCGCCCGGGGCAAAGGAAAATTTCGCCGCCCCCTTATTTAGGTATCTCAATTTAAAAAACTAAAATTCAGTTTCGTCACAGAATAAATAATGAAAAATTCCGTGCTAGTGTTGCCACCTTTTTAAAATCCCTGACCCGGACGGCAGGTGAGGTTTGTTCGAACAGAAGTTCCTGACACATGCGTATGAAGAATAATGTGCAGTTCATGCCGGTTCAGTTAGCGATTAGGGAGAATTGGGTAGGAGTAACGTAAGTAACCTAGACGACTTAGCTGTATTGGACATTGGAAGCGTATATGAATACGAATGATTTGTACAAGCAAAAAAATAAAAAAAAAAGCTCAACAGGTTGTGCACGAAATCCCGGACTGTCCGGATGATGACACTTTTCGTGCTCATTTCAATCGGTCCGAATCGTAGGTGCGACGAAAATATGTGATGAAATGGTTTAAGTTTTTACAAAATATTATTATTATTTATTGTGAAATTTTGCCGCCTCCACTACGCTACACCACTGTATGTGATCTTCAGCTTTATGCTCTAAGAACTTCCTTCGCTGCATAATACGTTAGAAGTGGGAAATCCAACTCCAGCTTCTGAAACTGGAACTGTTTCGAGTGCGGAACGGTTCTTCGGAACCATTATATTTTGTCGGAATTGCTTAGTCTGTTGGACTAGACCAGTAATTCTTAACCAGTATTCCGCAAACCTGCCTCGAGTGTTCCACGAAAGAAAATATTTTAAAGTTTTTATTAAAATTTATTCTCATTGCTATATATTTATTCTCATTGCGTAGATAATTCCATGTTTCTATTTTATTCAATACATTAAAGTTTATTAGTTTATTGCTTCATTGTTTCCTGAGAATAGTAAATATGGAATTGCTTATCAATTTTTTAATATGTTGATGCTAATGCTTCTTGTAATAAGAAGTATATGAGTGGTTTTCCGCGGCCTCAGAAAGGTTGAGAACCACTGGACTGGACTGTTCCTCTTCGGTTATGTATGTACCGGTACATAATAGAATTTATTTATACCTGAATAAAGAAATCTTCTATGGATCGGGTTTAGTATTACTTTATGACTTTTTTTTAAATATCATTAAATGCTGATCCAAAGTCTTTACTTATCCCAGTTTTTGACAGTCATATAATTTCACACAAAGAACAATAACAGACTTTACTAAGGTCGGTTATAGCTCTGACTGACTGTTTAAAAGTCGAGATAAGAAGAGACTTTGGATTTAACTGATATTTAAAAAATGTCCTGTAAAGTATGTATTAGAATGCTTGTGTCTCTCTTATCTAAGTTTTTTTTGGTTGATCTGCGACAAATTTTTTATACTTATTTTCTAGGACTCTCAGGAAAATATATACTGTACTTCCTAGAAACCAGGACATCCCCTTGTCAACTCCTTTTATCTTTTGCCCAGTCTGCACCAAATTTTCCATACTTATTCTCTGAAATTGAGAGGAAAATATAAACTTCCTTGAAACCTGGACATCCCAATATTTCCTATTTTAACACTGTGACACTTTGTGATAAACATAACAATGGTAGGTTAAAATATCTAAACTTTTAATAACTTTTACATTTTAAACATGAATTGATTGTTCGTCAATTAATTACACGTACTCACTAAACTTTTTCCGCTTGTGAGGTTAGCCGATTGGGGTGAGGAGATTTCGACAGCAGAGCGGTCAATACTGTCGTGTGGGCGCAGAATGATTCACGGAGACAGGTTTACCATATAAAACCGTTTAATAAAATTATAATTTCTTACAATATTTTCTTGATTGACGGATTATCACACCACGAAGCACGAGGATAAAGTTCAAGTAGAGTTCGAAAAGTTCGTTTCCGTTTCCTACAGTTCGGCGAAGACGGTGAAATAATCGTCGGCCCCAGGACGAATGGCACTGCTTCAGGTGGTTTTTCTCGGACGAACCGACGAGCCTGAAGGTCGTCCGGTGACACTGCAGGTGAGGTTGCTTCCACTAGATCCGAAACGTTCTTTCCAAGATTCGGCGGGACACACACGTCCAGGAGGATAAGACTATGAACCAAGAACCTTTGTAACTTGAATCACACGGTTTTATATTAATAGATTTCTTAACCGCAGTCGCCTCTCCATTGGTCTCTCATTGACATCTGGTGACAATTCGAAACCTAATGGAGGGCGCGGGAGAGGTCAACGTTGCGACTGAATATGATTCCTCTCTCTCGTCGAGTTTTCTCGACTTTATTCCTTTCCATTGTTTAAGGAATTTACAAAAAACAATTTCCATTGTTCGATTGAGACATCTAATCCTTTCCATTCACGTCTGAAAAGGAGCATTTTAAATTTCCGATCGATACTCTTCATTCGGACCTCTCAGTCGACCCCTGTTCGGGTCCTCACACGCTCATATGTCTTTCTGAAAATCGATTATTAAATTTTAAAAAATACAGTAGTTTGTTCGATGATAAAATGTGCAGATAACATTCTTCCCATTAAAATAAGCAATGCTTTGCCCCATCTCAGGCCACTCAGAATGAAAGTATTGATATATAGCTCGTAACTGCTTTCGATTACCTAGAGAACCTCATTCATCAAGACAATGTTCTCAATCTACTATTTTAAGATAGTAGATTGAGAACATTGTCTTGAAGACAGAATTTCGCATGTGTAACAACTCCACTCTGGGAATTGTTCAAAACCGAATCTTAAGACAGTTCCAGTCGGAATTACCAACGCGTTTTTCGTTCTGTGCTTTTATGATTACAGATTTTGACAGAGCAGTGAATTCTATCTAGATTTAAACGTGAACTAAATGAAAATGTCCCACAAGATTTTAGGAATAATGAAATTGGTTTTGAATATCTTAAATTTATAAAAAATATTTTAAAAAATTATATTTTTATTAGAGTTCATAATTATTTGTTTTTATTAGTAACTAGCAAACTTGCTGTTTTACAAAATTGTAAACTTTTCGACATCCACGAATTTCATAAGGAATCATTCATAAAAGTATGTAACGCGTTTTTATACTTTTGAACTACCACTCCGCCTCTGTAAAGACTACCATCCCACATCACTGGAAAATATACCAGAAACAGAAAACAGAAACGGAAAAACGATGACACTTCCTGTCAAAAAATTTCCGTTCATCCGATTTCAAAATCCAATTGGAAACCTAGAATAGAAAGTACTTCAACTTTTCCGTTTGCATTTGATACCGTCGTGTTTTGACCAATAAAAAACACAATTGTTATGACGTAGTAATAGTAACGTTTTACGTCTTATTTTATCAAAGTGTGAGGCCCTGGATACGTCCGAACACTCACTGAAATTCGCGTTAATATAATTTTTGAAGTAAAGAAAATAGAAGCTAGAAATAATTTTTTTGTATGAAAACGTGACGCAATGTTTTGAACAATAGAAGAATGCAAGTCCTAAGATCGACCATCTCAGGTTGGGGATCGAATTAAACTTCGATTTTGACCTCGCAGATCGAGTTACACATAGTAACGAGTGATCAACCACTCAGAAAGCGAGAACAATGCGAAAAAGCGGATCGATCGCAGTGGGTGATTGAGGACTGAAATTAATAAAAATCCGGAAATTCAAGGACGCGACGGTTTTTTCTTCCGAAAATTCTAAGTGTCGGACCAATTGTTGTGTATGTGTGAAGTGCCCATCTTCCTCTTCGTCTCCCGTCCTCTGATCGAAACCTTCCGGCAAGACTCTAGGTCTGTGTGAGAGGGCGGGAACCCCTCAAATTGTAGCCCCTGTGCGATAAAAAAGCGTTTAATAAATCATACCCTACGGGCCTTCACGAGATATAGCTCCCCAAAATTGGATTGCGCGATCGGATCGGAGGACTATACCTACGTCATTTCCGGTCACGTGACACCGTATATACCAAAATTTTGTTTTTTCCTCGCACAAGGGGTCTACAATTTGGGGGGTTCCCGTCCCTCCTTATCAATTATTCTTCGAAACGAAAGCGACGTAAACGAGCGAGAGCGACCACGTTGGCACCTTTAATACC